TACTAGGCACAGAGCAGGACTGTCCACAGTCAGACTGAACACAGCTAACAATCATTTTCAAACAGCTTTAAATACAGATTCTATGGATATGAATGAGATTATCTTATAGAGCATTTACAACACAGAAACAGGAACCAAAGAGTCACAAGTGGCTTTTCAAGTAATCTCAAAAATCATTTTGTATTTTATATGAGCTATTTCACACAAGACTTTGTACTAAGCACCTTCGTGCCATTCACACAATTACTTTCACAATCTGGTAAACCAATGAAGTTTGCCAACATCTAGCAGCCACTAAAGGCAGATCCCAGCATCAGTGGTAAGTGAGCGATACAAAAAAAAAACTAAGCTGTGCTAGAAGGAATTGACCCTACCAATGCTTTCATTTTTACTTCCTCAATATTTGTTTGAATTAGAGTATTTTCCAGACAAGAAAAAACTACAGAAAAGACCCTGGGCTCAGTCAAGAATGACTATGTAGCATAGAGCATTACCAGGAATTTGGAACTTGCAACCAAAATAGTGACAATGCATAATAACAAAACAATAAATGCAGTGCTAAACTATTATTTCACTTTCCAGGACAGTTAAGTAACCGCAGACAGAACAAACAGGAACACTTACACATCAGAATTTCTGATGCAAATTCACAGACTTAGGATCTATGCCAAAGCAAGAGGATCTATACTGAAGCAGGAGACCCCTGGGGAAATGGAACTCACAGTATTATTCTTTTCAAGTAATAGTATGGGTAAATAAAAACAGTTCGGGAAGGATGGGCTGATATTGTCTGTGACAGTGAATTAACCATCAGGGACCAATTCCTGCCTTTCAGTAAGTATTTTCAGAGGAATGAAGGTAAATTCCACATTTTTAAGAGTAGAAACTGTCTCTCCAGCCATTTTCCAGCCCTAGCTTGCAACACCTGAAACTGGTAGCAGCTAGGGTATCCAAGGAAAAGAGAGTTTTTCTTTAAGAGTGCAGAAATACTCCTTTATTATGTTTTCTTTCTGTAAGCATAAGTTTGAGCAGAAAGGGAACTTTGAAACACATGAGAAAGTATTTAGAATAAGACTTTACATGTTCATCTGTAGACACAAACTCAATTCCAGCTGTGAAATCCAGACTGGCCATTTCAAAAAAAAAAAAGGGCAGAAAAAGACTAGTGAGTAATTGAAATAAGGGAGGTTTTCAAATGAAATTTCTTTTGGTGGATAGTTTAGAATAGTTTTGTTAAAAAAAAAAAATCAAAGTTTTTAAAACACAAGCTATGTTTGTCATTTCCCCAAAAATGCTTCAACTTGTAATGCTGGTGAAAAAGGTTGAATAACATTATTACCAGTTTATTCTAAAATGAAGAATTCTTATTCTAACGCTTACTCTAGAAGTCAGGAAACCATCATTTAATTTGGTCTTTTTACAATCTTATTGAAACCCAACCCCTCCCCATTTGGTCTGAGTGAACAAAACCATAAAGGAATCTAACAGCAAATACTTATATTCAATCAAATCTGAGTCCCACTACTTCAGTACAGTACCACCTCATGACCAAGATCAGGTTGAACAGTAATATCAAACATGAAGTTTAATCCATAAAGCCTTTTTTTGCCCCCTACAGTTCTGGAACATTGAAAGACTGAAAAATAGCATGTTGTCTTGCAAGCATTTTGCAGCACCAAATTTTGTCACATTGTTTGGCAAGTTGCATTGGACTTGTGCAACTTCCAGAAGTCCAGAAAAGGCATGTCAGTCTAACTTTTTGTCTTGACGGATTATGAAATTTAAAATATTCGGCCAGGAAATCTCAAACAGTTCTGCTGCTGGGCAAGTAAGACTCCTGCCCAGCAGCAGAAAGTGACTTTTGGCCATGGAAAAGACACATGAACCATAAAGCCAGTAATGAGTAACTGTTAAATTCAACATTAATTGAAACAACCAGCTAGCAAAACTTCTAAGTATATAAACCTCTATTAAAAAAAAAAAATAAATAAATAAATTACAACAATATAGAAAATTTGTTCAAAATCCTATTACAGAGCACCAAAATAACGTTAAAGTCAGGATCTGTCATGCAGAACAGAAAATAGCATTTTTCCCCCAAGTAGTGTTATAGGTTGCATTATATCCCTCAAAAACAAACTGTATTGATAGTAGACAAGAATAATTTTACCTAATCTAAATATGTAGGATTCCAGAAAAAGAGCAGACAGAAGGCCAAAAGCATGAATTATGCATACTGTATCATCAAATTCCCATCCTACTTTATTGCTAGAGCTGGTTTTGTATGGAAAAAGAAATTAGGGTAGAACACATATTGAACAATTTTCTTTGTAACTGGTTCTTATTCACCTTAAATATAAAATTTTATTTAGCTTATATCATAGGGAGACATCCTTATTAAAGTAGCACATTTACATAGGTCCCTTTGAAAGGATTTAATGCAAACAAGACTGAAATAATTGAAGGAAAGACATTTTTAGACTGTTCTCAAAAGAGCTTAGTGAAGAAGAGGATAACAGGAAAGAATTACTTTATTATATTGATTTTCCTAGAAAAAAAAAAAAAAGCTAAGCAAGGTAGGTCAAATAAACCAATTCTCTTTTGCAAAAATCAATACAAGCTTGAAGAACATCAGTGAATTTACATGTCAAAAAGTGTTTATAACTGTACTGCAAAACAAGACCTGCACATTATTACTCTAATAAGGCAGGTAATAGAGGAGACTAGCTTGGTACATTACTGCACATTGCTATTTTAAAAAAGTGTTTAAAATGCAATATATACACATTTTTCCTAATCTAATCAATCCATTAATCTGAAATATGATTGATTATATATTACATTGCAACTCCCTAAAACATGTTGAAACATTGCACGGCTGGCCCTCAGTTGCTTAAAACACATCTATCTGAAAATGAAAAATACTTCTACACACAACACTGCAAAGAAAATTGTATACTTAAATCTTTATCCAAGTCCCACATTCTTTACCTCCAGGATACTTCTGTTTTATAGGTAAAACCTAAAACCCTACTATCTTCTTTAAATGAATAAATATATTTTCACATCAGGTATCTGAAAGTTAGCCCCCTTTACATGATTAGCATTCACAATAGTATACTCACTGTCCTAGATACTTGAAACTGGAAATGTTTTAGAGCAATAACCTTAGCTCAGTGTTATCAGTTACTATTGTTAGCATCAGTCAGATGAATATTAACTATAGAACTGACGCCCAGGTTCTGGCAGGACACATGCTGAGGACATAACACCTGCTGGTATGTCCTGGCTGTATGACCCAGCATCCAGCTGTGATGAGGAACCCAGGTTTTCTAGCTCCTTTGCTGTAAGGCTCCAGCCACCCTGCTGTGTCTCTCCCAAATCTGATTCTGCCCCATGAAAGGGGCATAAAATTCCCTGAATTTTTTCTTTAGCTTTTGTCTTGTCCATTAAGGCTACAATGAATTTGTCTGCAAAATTTGTTGTTTAAAGCAACATCCCCTACCTCCATCAGAAAATAGTAAATGATAAACTGGAGATGAGGAGCTGCAGATCCTGACTGAAGTTTTGGTACTAATAACAGAATTTCCACTGATTTTGCTAGGGATAGTATTAATGTGGACAGAACAAATAGTTTGAAGTATATCTTATTGATAAACCTTTTCAAGAAAAACAAAACGGGGAACCAAGATCTCTCCAGCTTAAAAGCCATCCAATGCAGTTGAGGAGTCACACTGAGGACTTGATCCTGTTTCTTCTGACCCCCTCTTCCAGTACAGAGTCAGATACTCAATCCTATTTCTTTGCATTATTTAAGCTCTTTCTGAAATTACTTATTAGAGCCTACAAGAAATTGAACAGCAATCTTAGTAAAGTTATCTAGTATTAAAATAACATTGTCTGATTTCCATCAGCAGATCACTGATTTCCATCTGATTTCCATCATGCAACCAGTTAGTTAAAGCTAATTGTTTATAAAGACCACAGAAGACATACTTTCCTCACATTTCCAAAGAATAGCCTTCCTACTGCTGAACAGTAGAGTTCTTCTAGGACAGTCAAACCTCTGAAAGAACTACTAGAATATCTTCTAAGAGCTACAGTGAAATTCTCTCCTCACCTCTCAAAGTATTCCAAAACAGCATTAAGGTTTTTCATTCCAGCTTAGGAACCACATGTATACACAGTTTCCAATAACAAAAAAAGCCACATACCTTTTCCATGACCAATTAATTTTACATTCCTCACAAAGACAGTAAAGATATAACACAAGGACAAAGGCCAAAATGTAAAATCACAGAATCATTCAGGTTGGAAGAGACCTTCAAGGTCATCGAGAATTTATGCTCAAGATACCCATTGCACAAATCTCCAGCTTCAGTTAAAAGCACCAAAGCTTCAGAGTAGAACCTGTTCCCACCCACCTGGCAACACAGTGATCTGAAAATATTTCCAAACCCCATCTTCAGTACATTCCAATGAAATCAAAACTAATGTGACATCCTGTGATCTGAGTTTACAATGGGAAAAATCCATACATTTGCAAATATTCCATACTGCAAATAATTCAGTGTTTGTTTATAGCAGTAGTTAAGACACCTCTGGCTTTTGTTTTCTTTTTGTCATTCACTCTATTCTCTGTTCTTTTTTCCTTTCTCAGTCAGTTCATTTTATTTTTCTACCTAGTTATTTATCACTTATTTTTGTCTCTGCTAGCTTCTCTATGTTATTCAATTTTTTCCCGTGTTTGAATACACATTTTTTAAATGACACAGTCAAATGTCTTTGCAGGACTACAGTTTCAGTTTTGAGTGTTATTGTAAATGAAGGTAAACGTTTATAACCCTTGAATAATTATCAAAAGAGCTTCCTTGAGAACCTTTATTTTTAATTATGCATTGATAACTAGTAAATACAGTATATTTGATGTATTTTTGTGTACTTCATAGCAGAAAGTGTAAGCAAATATTAGGTAGAAGAATTCAGAATATGTTACTCACCACATTCATTTATTCTGGTAGCCTGAGGTGCATTTCATGTCACCCAAAAGAAGTGCTTCTCATTTTCCTTCTTCATAACTGTCTTCTAGGTTTAAAACACAAAATTAATTTAAATTCTTAATGTAAGAGCAGGAAACAGAACACACAGTCCTTTTCCTCTCAGCTACCTACATGGGTAATTCAGCATAAACTCGAAGCAAAGACAAAGAAAGCAACCATGGTCATCAGCAAACTTTGCCTCCTGCTTTAAACTTCATTAAGCTTCATCAACGCCAGCTGCAACTTTCCTTGCTGCAGCAACAGTTGCATCAGCAACCAACTGTTGAGTTGGCAGATAATTCAGTACAGGCAGAGATACAGAAAAGAATTGTTATGTCAGTCCAAGGTAAATTAGAATTGAACTAAAGAAACCCATGAACTTAAACCAGCAATAAGTCAGACAGGGTTTCTTTTCTAAGAGTCACCATTCAGGCAAGCTACATTTGCTTTCACAGAGATGGTCCTATTGCTTTAGAGATTTCTTTATTAATCTTTAACACAAAACTTATCCTAACTTCTTTAGCATACAAGCTATGCTTTGAGGACACATTTCACCTCTACAAAGGGAGGCATTTAGTACTGAAAAACTTTACATATAGGAAACAAAAAACGCTAGTTTAACTCCTGTTTTCCGCTCCTTGGGCATAAAATAGCTAGACTACACCAACCTCCAGAAATGTTGTACTTGTTACCTACCTAACCATACCCAGCCAGTGTCAAAAGCTTTGCAAAAAGTTATTGTCAAAATTATTACATTAGTTACAGTTATTTGCAAAAGCAAACCATCTACTAGGGGATGAAGCACACGTTCTCCCTTTTCTTCCAGCAGTGCCCCAAAAAAGAGAGCTCTTCCAGTCCTACCAGACAAGAAGAGCACATACACTATCCCCATACTAAAACAAAAAGCCTCCAGCAAAACATCCCTCATCCCTATCACCACCACCACCACAGTGAACCTGCAAACAGAGGATAAAATTGGAAGCTTTGAAAATGAATAACTACTTGGAAACCAGCACAGACCCCTCACATCCAGAGCAAAACCAAGGTTGGGCTGAGCTAAACCACCCCATTCCCCCCTCCCCGGCTGTTATATAGCTCCTGATCAGGGTAACCAACTCCACCTGCTCCCATTGCCCTGCCATCAGCTCAGCTGCTCTCCAGCCTCTGTTGGTGCCTCTTGCCTGCAGCTGGGGCCTCCGCAGCCTCCCCCAGCCACTGAGGGCTTTGCTTGGCACCGGGCACATCAAGAGCAGTGCCAGCTGCCTCCTTGCTCCATCCTGAATGGCAGGTGTGGAGGATTTTCCTGAACATGCTGATGTTTGGTGGAGATGAGCAAGTCATCAGCACAAGAAAGCCTGTTTGAAGAGTTAAAGGTGCATGTTTGCTTCCAAAGTGTTGTTAAATGGAGCTAGATGGCTAATTTAGCTTTTCAACACTATAGCAAGCATATAGAAATGTTGTAATAAAGGCAAGTCCCATTTACGTGTGGGTATCTGAGCTGTCCTCTCACACAGTTATATGGAAATGTATCTCAGTACACAAATACCAGGCATGTTTGTGCTAAAATGTATTTACTGACAGGCACCCTTGGTGATTTATAATGTAGAATAGTGGCAAAGGAGAGCAGACAGGTTATGTACTGACATATACTTGGATATCTTTGCCTATTACTAATGTCTAGAAGAAGAGCACTACTTTGTGGCAATGAGCTGTGACAAGCTGGCATCTAGGCATGAGGATATTTTCTTGCAGAAGCCAGTGAGAGCCATCAGGCTGCAGGGAAGGCCTCAGGAGCTGAGCATAGCTTCTGCCTCTTCAAAGATGACTGGAGCTGCAGGCTCAATGAGGACACCTTCATGCAGTAGTTTGGCACTCCTGACCTAGCCCATGACCTTGAGGTGTAAACAACAACCCCGTTAAACACCTGGCTAAAGGTTTTAACTGTAGTGACAGTGGATGAATGGGAGAAGATGAATAGAAGTAGATGAAGGAGTGGAGGACTAGGAGAAGAGAAACTGCTTTTTGTTGTCTGATGCAGCATTACTATCCCTACCAATTCAGATATAAAATACAACAAATCTCAACCTCTTTAACATTGCAGGCAAAGTTTATTCTGCATCTTGGAATTGGCACAGACTGTTGTAGGAAGCATGTTTTCTCATAGCAGGGAATTAAACAGAAAACTTCTGTGTGCCTGCTGTTCCTATCCTTTCACTACTGGAAATGGACACACCTGGTTTATGGGAGAAAAAAAAAAAAGAAAAATGAACTAGCATTGTGGACAGAAAACATATTTAAAACTGCCTTTGCTAAAAAGTGATAACAGTTTGGTTTGCTTTGACACCTCAGAAAAATAAAAATAAAAATAAAAAATCAGAGAAAGCTATCAGGACAGACTGTTGTGTTATCAGCAACAATCACCCAGTGGGCAGCTTCTGCTGTGCAATGCACTTTTCTCCTGCTAGCAGGAAACATTTGCTGCTCTCAGAGCTCTCCTTGTAAACAATGAGCTTCTGTCCTTAAAAGCAATAAAAAAATCTTATCTCTTCTCTCAATTCCCTCTGTTTTACAATACTGTATTCATAATGATTGCTACCTGATTAGCAAGCTGACACAGACTGGATGGTGAAGGGAACACTTGGCTTGCTTGGCATGCTGTCCTGTGGCAATAGAAATAGAATATCTCTACAGCTGCTCCTGTTACAGCTTGCTCCTAGGAAACTCTTCTGAGCCTGAAGTCCTTCATTGTCAGTCGTTCTGCTCTGTGCAGAACGAGTGTTAGGGAAACCCTACCAAAAACATTTTTTATTGATATTTTGGTACATATAACCAGTTTTTAACTGACAGGCATTTTTGAGTAAGAGTTGCACTGAAAATTTGAAACATGGTGACATTTCTTATTAGGATAAGGATGAAAAGGAGTAAGAATGAAAAGTCTTTAAATCTTTTTCATTTTCTTATGATATGATTTCGTATTTGCATTCCACTTTCCATATATGTGAGTGAGCAAAAGAGTGGAGGAAGAAGTAGGGCACCTGTTGTCACTGACTGCTGGTGCTGCTGGCATCAGACGACTGCTGTCAGACCCAGCATTGCCTGCCTGCACTGATGCAGTGGCTGGGTGACTTCTCTCTGCCAAACTGCTTCTGCAAGACCTTGAAAGACCTCATGCTGTAAAGATCTATCAGTCTGCAGCCATTATTAGCTGCAGCTGTTTGCTGTAATAGCATGTTTCCTCTCATGAGAGGAAACAATTTTCTTATTGGAATATGTATTATTACATCTGTGAGAACTAAGGAAGTGAATTGCGTAAATAAACACATTACGGTGAACCCAAACAGACAGAAATGGAAACCCTTTAACATGTTTAAAGTCTTTTTAATAAATATATCATCAACTATCTCATCTTCATGTATCAATTATATAAAATCAAGGAAATGAATATAAATACATAATAAATTGTGTGCTGCTTCAGCACACATGTTTTATAGAGAATGCATTATATCACAGCATAACCTTAATTCTGACCTTAGATATTATTACAAGAGAACTCTCAGATTCCAAACATAACAATAACAACTACTTCTGGAAAATACAACCATGAAAAATTATTTATATAAGCATTAGTGATACCTACCGACCAGCCCCAAATGCAAGTCTGCACATATATATATTTCCTTAGAATAAGTGGAAAAGTACTTTAATAAATTACCCAGTAGAACTAACAGAAGCCACAGCACTTTGAAATGCTTAAAAATTCTACATCCGGTTCAAATATTAGACTATTAAAAATGTCCATAGCCGTTAACTTGTTGATTTAAAGAATCCCAGCAGACTGACCAGCATCGAGACTGCAGCATTGTCATGAAGTATGTATTTCTTTATAATTCAATTAAAGTTTAGGTATTTATTGGGGGGCTGAGAGCCCAGCTTTAATGTCTAGAAGTATTTATTTTTCTTGTTTTAAAAAGTTTGTTTTCTGGTGGGTCATTACTACCATTTGGCTAATAATGAATTAGATATTTAAATATTTTTTCTTTTGTTTTCCCTAAGAATTTATTTAAAAAGCTGTTATAAGTCACAAAGAGAAATGTGCATGTGGATCAGCCCAGCTGACCAAGGTGCGAGGGCACTGCAGTACACATCCTTTCACCCTTCCACAGTCTCCTTTCAGCAGCTCTTAAGGACTTGCTTCAGGCATCTTTCCAGATAGCAGTACCAAAAGAAGAGCTTGAGTATACTTCTCTCTACTTGGCACCTTTTTGCCCTGCCCTTGCTACAATTCTCCATATAGCTCACAAAGAACTTCAGAAAATTGAACCGAAATGAGATTACCTTGATAATACGGCGCTCCTTTGGAGGCCACCTTTGAGAACAAGGTACAATACTGCAAATCTCCAAGCTGAGCAGGTGTGATAATGAATTCAAGAGCTCAGAATGTGTCACTGTGAATTCAGTTGTTCTCAAAGCTTAATATGTGCATGTTGCAATTTGATGATGCTTTATACAATCGCAAGGTTGTTACTGTCAGAAACAATCTGTTTACTTTGCATATTTTCACATTTTTGTGAGCTGCCTAGATTCTATCTTTTGCAATTGGAATGGAGATTTACCAATTTATTTTATTTTTCAAGATGAGTAGCCTTGCAAAGGATCGGAAAAGGTCCCAACATTCAGAATTTGGGAAAATTCTGGGGCATAATGATATTCATGAGGATTCAGATTCCACATTCATCTGACCTTGACAGATGCGATGAGGCCACAGGATCTCAAAGAGCAAGCTCCAGGGGTGAGAGCATTGCAGGGAGGAAATAACCCACTCTTGGTTTGCCAGTCCAGTACTCTGAGACTGGACAGAGAGGCTTTCATTTCAACCAACATACAAACATGGTTGGGAGTGATAATCAGTGTAACAGGCTGGGGCAAGGACACTTCTAAATGTTTACATTCTTTGTCTTGGAAGTACCAGATACAAACATACATGTTCTCTCACTGATAGTATGGCAGTAAAAGCTATGACCAAAAAACAATTATTACAGTAAAAGCTATGTTTTAGAAGACATTTCTTATTCTACTAGCTTTTCTCTTATTAAAGAAATATTTAATTTTATGCAAAGTCTTGAGACCAAAAAAGGAACACCAGTTGTCTGCTCTTACAAACTACTTCAAAAGTCAAGCTCTTTTTAAGTGACGTTCTACATTGCTAATTGAACCTCAATGCCATATTTCACCTACATTATATGTCTAACAGATAGATAGATATATATACACACCAGTCATTTGCAAACCTGTAAATCCCATTTATGTCACCAGGCACAACACGAGCGCACACTCTAGAAGGTAGCTAGTGCACAGCCTCTGGGTTGTTTCAATTAAAAGTCATTTTCTTGACACTGTTAAAACTCCAGTAGGGTGCTTTGTGAAGTAGAAATCTCCCATGGGATATCTGCATTATCACGCTATTGATACAATTTGGCTTGTATCACATGCAATATCTGCAGAAAAAGCAGGACTTAATTACTGGCCAAGACAGTGAGGAGAAGAGCAGGCAGGGTGCTGCTTTCCTTCAGGGATGCCATTCCCCTAGCACTCAGAAGCACACCCAGGCTCTTGTCTTCACAAATGAGATTTTACTGTGCTGAGAGATTTCAACAGAAATGTAATTATATAAATAAAAATCTGAAAAAAGTGAGAAAATAATATATAGTGATTTATAATATGTCTTGGGTACCTTAGGTCTAGCTATTAGTACTTATGTGACCACAATTGCTGTTCTTAAAAATTTCCAAACACTGAATATGATCCTTCATAGACATAACTGCCACAGCTCTGAAAAATAAAATGATGTCACGTTACAGGATTATATTACCTGAGTACCTCGATCACCATATGCATTCTTTGCACAGCATTACATATTTACACGCGCACACACACACACACCGATAGGCAAGCCCAGGTACATCCTGCAGCATGCCCTTTTGCAGTTGCTGCATCCTTGACAGTTTTGGAAACAGTATTTTGTTTTATTTCAGGCATATGATCATTTGATAAATGCC